ATTAGTCACTAGTAAACATGTAAGCCCGTCATCACCTTGTATGTTCCTCCCTTATTAGTCACTAGTAAACATGCAAGACCGACATCACCTTGTATGTTCCTCCCTTATTAGTCACTAGTAAACATGTAAGCCCGGCATCACCTTGTATGTTCCTCCCTTATTAGTCACTAGTAAACATGTAAGCCCGACATCACCTTGTATGTTCCTCCCTTATTAGTTACTAGTAAACATGTAAGCCCGACATCACCTTGTATGTTCCTCCCTTATTAGTCACTAGTAAACATGCAAGACCGACATCACCTTGTATGTTCCTCCCTTATTAGTCACTAGTAAACATGTAGGCCCGACATCACCTTGTATGTTCCTCCCTTATTAGTCAATAGTTGACATGTAAGCCCGACATCACCTTGTATGTTCCTCCCTTATTAGTCACTAGTAAACATGTAAGCCCGACATCACCTTGTATGTTCCTCCCTTATTAGTTACTAGTAAACATGTAAGCCCGACATCACCTTGTATGTTCCTCCCTTATTAGTTACTAGTAAACATGTAAGCCCGACATCACCTTGTATGTTACTCCCTTATTAGTCACTAGTAAACATGTAAGCCCGACATCACCTTGTATGTTCCTCCCTTATTAGTCACTAGTAAACATGTAAGCCCAACATTACCTTGTATGTTCCTCCCTTATTAGTCACTAGTAAACATGTAGGCCCGACATCACCTTGTATGTTCCTCCCTTATTAGTCAATAGTAAACATGCAAGACCGACATCACCTTGTATGTTCCTCCCTTATTAGTCACTAGTAAACATGCAAGACCGACATCACCTTGTATGTTCCTCCCTTATTAGTCACTAGTAAACATGTAAGCCCGACATCACCTTGTATGTTCCTCCCTTATTAGTCACTAGTAAACATGTAAGCCCGACATCACCTTGTATGTTCCTCCCTTATTAGTTACTAGTAAACATGTAAGCCCGACATCACCTTGTATGTTCCTCCCTTATTAGTTACTAGTAAACATGTAAGCCCGACATCACCTTGTATGTTCCTCCCTTATTAGTCAATAGTAAACATGCAAGACCGACATCACCTTGTATGTTCCTCCCTTATTAGTCAATAGTAAACATGCAAGACCGACATCACCTTGTATGTTCCTCCCTTATTAGTCACTAGTAAACATGTAGGCCCGACATCACCTTGTATGTTCCTCCCTTATTAGTCAATAGTTGACATGTAAGCCCGGCATCACCTTGTATGTTCCTCCCTTATTAGTCACTAGTAAACATGTAAGCCCGACATCACCTTGTATGTTCCTCCCTTATTAGTTACTAGTAAACATGTAAGCCCGACATCACCTTGTATGTTCCTCCCTTATTAGTTACTAGTAAACATGTAAGCCCGACATCACCTTGTATGTTACTCCCTTATTAGTCACTAGTAAACATGTAAGCCCGACATCACCTTGTATGTTCCTCCCTGATTAGTCACTAGTAAACATGTAAGCCCAACATTACCTTGTATGTTCCTCCCTTATTAGTCACTAGTAAACATGTAGGCCCGACATCACCTTGTATGTTCCTCCCTTATTAGTCACTAGTAAACATGTAAGCCCGACATCACCTTGTATGTTCCTCCCTTATTAGTCACTAGTAAACATGTAAGCCCGACATCACCTTGTATGTTCCTCCCTTATTAGTCACTAGTAAACATGTAAGCCCGACATCACCTTGTATGTTCCTCCCTTATTAGTCACTAATAAACATGTAAGCCCGACATCACCTTGTATGTTCCTCCCTTATTAGTCACTAGTAAACATGTAAGCCCGACATCACCTTGTATGTTCCTCCCTTATTAGTCAATAGTTGACATGCAAGACCAACATTACATTGTCAGAATACATGGACCAAGAACAAGGGCATGTGGACGACAAACCCTGTATGTTTCCAATTCAAATGCTGAAGCAGTTCATACCATCTTGTAACTACATCGCCCTGGTGGCGTTAAGAAATCACATGTTTACAGATAGACACTGCCACCCCAAAGCTAGATACACCAGTGAGTGGATGGGTTTGATGGAACAATTTACTTGTTTTTGCATGTGTTTATGACAGGTGGGGCAGTTAACGCTAACCTTTTCGCTAACACCTGGTATCATCACTGCTTGATTGTGATTTATAAGCACAAGCTCATGATATGGTTGGAATCGTACAATCGACTCTTTTAGTAGATATTTCCAATGATTGTTGAAAGGGTTTTGTCGCTTTTATTTTACAGCAAGTTATATCATGGCTTATGCAGGACATGCTATTATTTTCGCGAGTACATGGCGTCATCACTGATTTTCAGTGATTCACTCATGATTTTCAACGCTCGTTTGCCTTTTACACCCAGTGGAATCTGTGTCGACAGACAATCATAACTGATTATTCCATAGCGTTGACTTTTTGTACAGTGACATTGAAATCTTTGAAAGCATGAAATGTCTTGGACCTTTACTACCAATTTCAAGTTTCTGGCATGCCCAACGCTGTAGTGACCCTCAAGCACCTGTGATCTTCACACGCACCATCGATAGCAACCCTTCTTAATCACAGAGAACTAACACATATTGAGGAAAACTTACATCCTTTGACATGATCATAAATATGGTTAAAAGTCAAGTATGTTCTTTATTTGTGAAACTGTCAAATATATTCAGCAATCACCTTCATATTTAAAATACAGTTCAATTAGGAAATAGTATATGTGGAATTGTTTACATTTCACCGTCAATATATTCACACACGTATTTGCAGTAAAATATTACAAGGAAAACAAATATTAACTGACAGAAAGGTTTCGAAAAACTTATTGACACAATGCTCAACGCTTTTTTAATCATTGTTTCAAACACCTGTGCATGATAATATTTCCTTCTGTTCACGAGAAAGTGGTCACGTCCACCATCCTGGTAAAGACATGTGACTATCAACAGGAAACATAAGTTTAAGGGATTGTGAAAGAAGGGTGATTGATGTAAGATAGCACTACTTCCATCATCCCTCCAGTGTGATACATACGACTCTTGGGTCACATTCAGCGGGTCTGCATTTGTAGCAACAGGAAACATCCGTACATAAGTCTGATCAAAATGCAAGTATATGCTGGTGTTATATACTTGACAATGTAAGACAAAAGGAAGAAAGTGCATGGGTGACAACTTCTTTTGTGTGAGGAACACGACGGTTCGGAGTATATAACCGATGAAGGAGTAAGTATATACTCCGAAACATAGTGTGCTTCACAATAAAGAAGTTGACATCCATAAATTCTCTTCCTTATGTGTATCACTTCTTAATGCCTTTTAAAGACTTAATCTACGAAATGACATTCACTTTGTATGAGTTCATTAGAACATGACCTTTAATAGAATGAGGGCTTAACTGTAATAACGTCTCAGCTTGCTTCCAGTGTGAAAGGTGCACTTCGTGTAAACTGCACCTTCACGCACAATAATTGTAATGCTCATTCATAAATACTAGATTCCATAAATGTTTCATCCTTAGTGTCCATCCTAAAATTTTATTCTCAGCTTCCTGGGGAACATTCATACCACAAAATCTGCTTTTAATCTACTTGTTGCATTGTGCATGTTACGGAAACTGGTTCTTTGATATCAATTTCAGTCAACAGAATGATCGTACCCGTGATGATGTGTATAGCATGCTTGCTAGCTGCGACTGAAGGTAAACACTGCATTGCTAGTATTGCTGATCTGGTCTGGTAATATCCATACTTTAACAAATCTAAGTGGTAGTTGGACATAGTAACATAAATGAAGGTAGGGTTGTCTTATAAGCCGAGGTGAAACGGGGATTAAGGTGAAGATTATGTCCCTTATATAGCTACGTGCATGCACAATGTCATGCTTGTATGTGGCTGTTTGTACTAGTCCAGTCGTATTCCTGCTAATAATTCAGTTCCCTATTTTAACTTGTACTATACGTTCCCGTGTTTTTCAGGGAATAATTGACTTGACTTTGCATGTGTTTGTCATGTGTGCTATCAGTCGCGCAGGATACCCTCACTTTTTCGCGACCACCTGGTATCATTTCGATTTGATGGCCATTCATAAATGCATGCTCTTGGTATATATATGGTTTATATAATATAATTATCATAAAGGTATCCCTACAAAGTGCCGCAGTTTAACATGGATACCCCACACGTACACCTACTCCATGCCAGCCTCTCCCACAGTGGCAAGCGTCAGGCATTGTTATTTCATGACCCCACCCCCTCAGGACCCTCTTACATCTTTTGGTGTGAGGGAAGGACGTGGGACTGAACCACTGATCATGACTTTACGCCCTATTCACTTCAACAGGGAGTCTGTGATTGCTGCTGTATGAATGTCGCATGCTTTTATGATTCAAATGCGGAATGTTATTTGCCTGATAAATGAAAAGTCAAACTGATATTATAATAATTGTGAACTATACACACCATTCCTGTCTTAATCACGATCGTACGTGTAGCTTGTTTAACGCCACGACAATAACTATATGATGTTAAAGTGTATAATGTATACTCAGTTTTACTCTTATTAAACATCATACTCATTATCCATTAAATCATATTCACGAAAAACTATGAATACATACCTGCATCTTTCCTTGCAGCTGTTCCATGTATTGATAATCACTGTTCAGACTGTGACAACACAACTGGACATTGCCTCACTGAGTGCGACACTGGGTATTTTGATCAGCATTGCAGTTCAGTTTGTAGTGGGAGCTGTAAGAATAAGAAATGTAAACTTTCAACCAATGGTTCTGGTAAATGCACTGACGGGTGTGTCCCAGGATATCAAGGCGCCACCTGCAACATACCATGTGACAGTCCAGGAAGTAACTGTTACAGCATGTCCAGGTGGTTGTGATGGAGGATATTGTCAGATGGGTTTGTCTTGTGTGTCTGGATGTGTAGACTCCTACTACGGGACTGACTGTGAAGGAAAATCGGGTAGGTATTATTTTTTTAACTAGGTTTAATATATTTACTATACAATAGGCTACAATAGATATCCACGTGTCAATCAAATCTGTACTCTCGGTAATGTTGTTAACTATGAGTGTAAGCGTTAAACATAATGACAGAAGGTACGCTCGAGGAAAACCCATTTGCATGATACCACTTCTGATTTTGTTTGGTTTGTTTGTTGTTAAACGCCGCCCAGAGCAATATTCTAGCTATATGACAGCGGTTTGTAAATAATCGTGTCTGGACCAGACAATCCAGTGACTGATATGAGCTTGAATCCACGCAGTTGTGATACGATGACATACATCAACCAAGTCAGCGGACCTGACCACCAGATCTCGTTTGTCGCCTCTTACGACAAATAGTCGCCTTTTACGGCAAGCGTGGGTTGCTGAATACCTGTTCTGCCCCGGATCTTTACGGGTCCCTTATAAGAGCTTCAGTCAAGAACGTGTATTCCTGTGAATTTGGGATTGATATGGACATCTGTAAATGGCCATGCATATTATCTTGATATGTATGGCAACCATAGTGTTTTAGTAGTGAGTGAGTGTAACAGCTGAATTTGACAGGAAAGACTGAGGTGATGGTTGCAGTGTGATACTCCAAATGTAGCTTGCTGAAACGTTGCCTGATGCAGGCTGGTTGTACGTATTCTCTCCACACTATGTAGTCTGGAGGATGTCTGACTCTGACTCCTAGTACGGAGCGCTGCAGGCTGGTTGTACGTATTCTCTCCACACTATGTCTGGAGGATGTCTGACTGTGACTCCTAGTACGGAGTGCTGCAGGCTGGTTGTGCGTATTCTCTCCACACTTTGTAGTCTGGAGGATGTCTGACTGTGACTCCTTGTACGGAGTGCTGCAGGCTGTTTGTACGTATTCTCTCCACACTATGTAGTCTGGAGGATGTCTGACTGTGACTCCTAGTACGGAGTGCTGCAGGCTGGTTGTACGTATTCTCTCCACAATATGTAGTCTGGAGGATGTCTGACTGTGACTCCTTGTACGGAGTGCTGCAAGCTGGTTGTACGTATTCTCTCCACACTATGTAGTCTGGAGGATGCCTGGAGGATGTCTGACTGTGACTCCTAGTACGGAGTACTGCAGGCTGGTTGTACGTATTCTCTCCACACTATGTAGTCTGGAGGATGTCTGACTGTGACTCCTAGTACGGAGTGCTGCAGGCTTGATGTACGTATTCTCTCCACCCTATGTAGTCTGGAGGATGTCTGGAGGATGTCTGACTGTGACTCCTAGTACGGAGTCCTCCAGGCTGGATGTACGTATTCTCTCCACACTATGTAGTCTGGAGGATGTCTGACTGTGACTCCTAGTACGGAGTGCTGCAGGCTTGATGTACGTATTCTCTCCACCCTATGTAGTCTGGAGGATGTCTGGAGGATGTCTGACTGTGACTCCTAGTACGGAGTCCTCCAGGCTGGATGTACGTATTCTCTCCACACTATGTAGTCTGGAGGATGTCTGACTGTGACTCCTAGTACGGGTCTGATTGTGAATCTGGTTAGTATTGCAGATTGACTAAGTTGATATATTATCTGTCCCCATACTGTATACTCCTCAGGGGGTTCAGCATAACATTCGAGAGCAAACTGGTCCATTGACGGGGGTATTACTGGTGGGAACCGGAATCCATATAGTATAATTGATACTATACAAGTTCAGAATTCAGTATGGACAGTTATCCCTGGTTGGCTGTTCTTCACGGACTAAAGACAAGGAAATGAATCAAGTTTTTCCTACAAATTAACATTGTTGTTTGTCAGGTGGTAAAGTGGGACTATATGTAGGACTTTCCACAACAGCTGTCGGTGTCATGGTAATGATCCGTCTGGTTGTGTGCTGCAAGTACCGTCAACGTTTGAGAAAGAGAAGGTAAGTGAGAGAGAGAGAGAGAGAGAGAGAGAGAGAGAGAGAGAGAGAGAGAGAGAGAGAGAGAGAGAGAGAGAGAGCTACAATCAGCTGTGTCCCGGATGTCAGGTCACAAATGGTCCCCGTGCAAGTCTCATCGTAGCGACTAACATGGGGATGAGTGTGGTAGTCAGTCACTGTGGCGTAGACGCCTGTGCCTCATCATACCTCGGCGACCTGAGATATTGATCATTACATTGGCTACTTGTTTACAAGTAACATATTCAAAGATCTACATGTCGCTTGGGTGTAGCTGAAATATCACTGACTGCTGCATCAAACAGCACCACAACAATTTACACCTTGGTGGCTTCACGACTGGTCACTTTAATAATTAAATGCTATCATTAACATAGACATTAAATAAAGGGGACAGACGTTGAAAGTAGTTGAATAAAATATATTATGAGGCATCCTCTATGCATTATCTTCATCCTATCAGGTTAAGCACCCTGTACCAATCCGCCGCTATAGCTTCGAAGCAAAAAACTTTCTCTCACTCATGAACATAAACCAATATTGTCTCGTCTCAACGAATGACTTTGGCATAACTCTGTATTAACATTTGTGCCATCTTATATGTAATCGACCTTAAATAGTATTGTCAGCCAAGTGTGTATGTTCAGGGACTGTCTAGTTGATGTGTTGGGGGGTTGAGTGTTTTATCGAAAAGAGTGCTTAAAAAATAGTAATATTCTTCAGACTGTTGGACAAATTAGAACAGTCGGTCCGTTAGTGTCATGTAATTCGAACTGATAAGTCGTGTCATAGCTAGTTACCTCTACTACTAAATCTGTGATACCCAGAAACTATTAATGGACTATTTTAATATGTGTTTTTAAATGTGAATCCACTGTTTATATGACATCAGTCGACGTTGTTCTCACTTCACAGTGTCACCCAGACAGAGGATGTTGTGTGCAACAATGCTACCACAATGGACGATGCCCCTGTCAGTGAGCTAGAATGGTATTCTGACATGCCACAGACAGACATGGCTGTGCAGTCTGAGTCGCCTGATGGGAACTGCGGGGGTCCGGTTGAAGCTGGTGATGTGGATGATGATGTTTATGACGTTGCAGATGGAGGGAAACGGGAATTCGATGCTGCTGATTGCAACATATACTCCAAATTATCACATGCATGGTAATCAGTTATTTTGAAATGGTCCTTCATTGACTAATGTCACTGTCCATTGTAAATGCAATTCTTAGTTGGATCTGTCGTCAGTTCGAGTCATTATAGTGTGTCTGGGTGGAGTTTGGCATTCAAGCTAAACTGCGACATGCCATCTTAGAGTGCTTGCACGAACCTTGACACATGCATTCACGTTACTTTTTTACTGAACCAATCTTGCACGCTACGTTGAACCCTATTTCACATCACCTGACCGTCATCAGACATCGCATACAGTAAATATGGTCTATGTAAAGATTGCACAAAAAAATAGCATAATGCAGGCATTTCCAAAGATGTTATTGACGTAAATAAGCTTTTGCGAATTAAAAAAATATTTCAATTAAAAGTAGTATGCAATATGCCGTTCTGAAATAAGAAAAGGTCACAATAACGTATTGAATGTCGTGGACACAGCCTACATGAGGATCGGATGGCCGCTTGTGATTTCAGTAAATGGTATGACTGTTCAACACCAACGTTAACATAGCTGGAACATTGCTGACTTCAGCCTTATACTCTCACCGTCTGTACACTGGTTCTTTCACGTAGTACTAACATGAAGGTAGTGGAAGTTTTTCGTCGATTATTGCACTTTCACTTTTTAGCGACGTGCACACGTGTGTGTGTGTGTGTGTGTGTGTGTGTGTGTGTGTGTGTGTGTGTGTGTGTGTGTGTGTGTGTGTGTGTGTGTGTGTGTGCTTTACTAATCCGGACTGATGTCGATTTATAATGCTAGCTCACTGAGATACCATGCCGCAGTTTAACATGAATACCCCATTCAGATAGGTTTACTGACTCAGAGCCGACCAGTCCTTGTTTTAGCACTTTAATGCCGAGCGCCAGGCAGCGTAACAGAAAGTACCACCTTTTAACGTCTTGTGGTTTGACGCGGCCCTTGACCTTCCGGTCCACGACCCTACCACTAGACCACAGAGGCGTCCTGACATGACGGGGAGATACAACATTGATGTGTTCCCAGAATTGGCTGTGTACAGAACACTTGCAAAAATTCAAGACACAACATTGTAAAAATGTTATGGAAAGAGCAAAGTGCTCCTCTTCTTTTTTTGCTTTTTTAACTGATTTTTATATCATTCCTTGTAATGTTTATACCAAGTTGGCTTACGTGTCGTCGAGTCTGTGTGAATTTTCCTACATACATTTTATTATTTAATTTGCTTCTTATGTGCTATGTACAGATGAAATAGCTGTACCATGCAAGCGTTGTTATCACAGACACATATACAGTAAACTACGGTTATAACGAACACGCTAATAACGAACTGACAGATATTACAAACTTACTTTTTTGGTCCCGACTATTTGCTGTAGTCATGCTGTATATATGCGTATAACGAACTACGGTTATAACAAACTATAATTAGTATTTCCCTTGAGTTCGTTATAACCGTACTTTACTGTATTATTGAAAAGAACATACATATTCAGTTGGACATCAATTTCCGTGTATCTGTAATTCAGGACTGCACAGCGTATGTTGTTCCACTCATCACCGTGACCTTGTTTCCCGACAAAGCATGTCCCTGTACACTGAATCACCCCAGTCGTGTGTTGAAAGGAAGACGTTAGCGAAACAGAAACCTGTACAATATGGTGGATAATAAACCTATCTCTACATTTGTCAAATCCACTTATCTGCTCTGTTAGACACATGGATATGACAACATTATCAAAGTCGATGTCAATGTTCGACCATGTGTTTCTGTTTGGAATACAAATTCACTGTTATCCTTGCTAAGTATCACAATTATGTTTTATCACATTTGTTTCCTTATTGTCAATATAATTATTTTACCAATAAAGCTGTGTGTTATGCTGGCTAAATGTCTCATTTTTCTTATCCCTCAGCAGGATGTTGAGTTTATGGACATTTAAACAAGATCACCATTCCCATAATACTAAAAAAGTATCCGGTATATAAGTCCACTGTACAGTTCTGACTATATCATAAACATGTTTTTTTTAGCGTGTTTATTAATAAAAAATAGTGATGATACTAGGCGTTCGAAAAAAGGTATTGCGAGCGTGTCCTGTCCCGCCGGTTGCCAGTGTTCCTGCAAGTCAAGTGTTCACCTGAAAGTACACGGTACCGTATGGTAAAAGTCCAACTAGGAAATTGCATCACACATCAAATTTTGTCACTGATGCGTCAAATTAAAAAATGCCCTTGGAATGTTTACCACAAAACGTTTTGATCGCCATATCAAAACCTGGAACATTGTAACCCTGATCACAAACTTCTGAGCATGACTCGTGTGGGGCTCTTTCAAGAGCATGGTCGTTTTTTTTTTTCCAAAAGTTGTAAAATGCAGATACCAAAAGCTGAGACTACTAGAACAGTGCTCGACATAGAGGTACAGTTGCTATTTGAAAGTTGAAGTTACCCTCTTGCCTTTTAAACTCGTGGGGATGTTTTATCACTCTGAATATTTTTGCATAAATCGAAATATGAAAACGATGAGGCGGTCCCTTTTCTCAACATTTTGTCTTCACGAAAGACCGTCACTGTAATACCATTTTACTTTCATGGATTATTGGGCCTTGTTATGATTGAATATAACATCTTAGAATTGTCAGGACAATTATTATGTCACTGTTAGGCCGTAACAGGCTACCAACGCCAATATTCAGTACATATCAATCAATGTTAGTCACGCTTTTAGTGTAGAAACAAAACACACTTATGTGTGTCTCTTTCATTGCTCGGTAATTGAAATGATTTGTTCGATTAAGCATTGAAATATGCCACGAACGAGAGAGCGAAAAGTTCTGAGCCGACATGATGATGGATTGGTTGGTTGCTCATTGTGTTACAATACAGTCCACACACTTCTGACAATAATTATCGAGTACTTCCTTCTGGGGGTGTAGAAGACCCAGCACAGCAGGAATGATGTAATCGTCGTTTGCATATTGCTAGCTCGACACCTACTTCATGTTCGGAATGATGGAAATTTTACCAAATCTTGTGAAAAGACACAGTCAGGCATTACAGACTTGTACGTAGATGCATTGCCCATTAGAACAACACGTCTTCAGTGAGTTTTCTGAAACGTTAATCTGACCTTTCGGGAGGTAGTCCACCATTTCATAGAAAACCAAATTCATCTCCATGTCCATCTCTTCGTCGGAGGAGTCGTTAAATATGTCTACTGCTTTGACTGTAGTTTAGTCTCGGGCTGATAGTGGTGAATCCAGCTAAGTCAATGGTTACAAATAGATCAATAACAATCAGCTGGGTTGTCTTCAAAACAACGTAAACTCTCAGAAGAGATGGAGAAACAGGGGCGTCCCGAATCAGGAAACTGAAGTCTTGAAACCCAGCGTGCTGAAACACCGTGTGATGCAATGTGCATGCATCAGAATGTTCATCATCAGATGCCCACATCTAAACAGTGACAAAGGAAGGAACACCACAAGCCAACTGTTCACATGTCAGTCAACAGATAATACCTTGATGTTTGATTGTGTATTTAGCTGAAATGCAGCCTAGAACCATGTACACTAGTGTAGTAAATACATGCAAACTGATAGGCTGTTGCATACAGTGAGTACGACTCAGAATCTTTTGGACACCCCTCATATAATTAGTGGTGTCTTAGATATATGACGAGCGTATGTCGATGACCATTGCTTAGTTTTTAGTATTTGTTTGGACATTAGAGTGTGATACATGAGCTAATACTATTTGTGATTTCCCCATATAAACCTTTGCTGCTTGTGATCGCCTGTGTGTGTCTGATATGTTTCAAGTGTAACAGGAAATCTAATGCATGGATAAAACACAGTCGCCGTTATCGCATGGTGTTATCCTGGTTATTGTGAAGGCCATGTTTCACTCCTAATAGTGTCCAGTATTGGGCTACACCAGGCTGGACGTGTTTGCACAGATGTGTAACCGGTGCACTTACGAGTACAGTAAGGAGGACGAGGGAATTCTGATCAAGTGTCCCTCAGCCACGACGCCAATGCTCAGCGAAGGTATCTCATTTTTTTTAATTTGTAGTCAATATATAATGAATCCTCAATATGCATTCTTACGGCTTATCGCTTTGTGTTCCACGCATATTTGCTTAAGTGCATAGTCAAACTAGCGAATGCGAATGCAAATAACGTGTCACAACAAGATAATGTTAAATGATTCCAGATAAAACTACGAATTTATTAACGCTAAAAAGCATATATTAATTCTTAAATGGATGTAATTATCAAAATGCCGCCCGCATGTTATCAGATATGAGCAGGACACTGTAACTTGATAATGCCCTCATATTGCTTGACGACAGGCCGTTATCACACCTGTTGTTAGGTGACGTCATATTGATGTTCAACAGTAACGTCATCCGGTTTGTTCTATGACGTTTCCATATTTGTAAAGGTGTGTAAGTGATATTCGTGTTGACTGCAGTAAATGTTTCAATACCGAAATTGTTGTTTAGTTTTATTTGACAACAAATTCTATCCATTTCAGCTATAATAACCCTTTCGCTGTTTTGCGGGGCATTATCATTTGCAGAAACCCTCGGACTTTTCAACTGCCCTCCTTCGCCGGACAGTTAATTGAAGACCTCGGGCTTATGCAAATGATATTGCCCTGAAAATAGTGTTCACCTCATGTTAGCACTACACATGCCACTTTAGCACTAGAATTACTTCAGCAATAAACACATCTCACTGTAGAACTAAACTTGGCGTCGTTCAAAACATGTACCATTTTGGTGACTCTGACCACCAGACAATGATGAACAGGACAAACATGCGAGAGAGTTTCTCTGACACAAGATGGTCAAGTTAGTGAGTGATGCAGTGGGTGATATACACGGTTTGATATAATGACACAAACACTTGTTTATAATACTCTGATACATTTCCTTGTAATTCTATAGCGTACTGTATCAAAAGTTAATGAATATATCTGTAAGGTCATTACATAATTTTGGTCTGTAAGTTTTTTTAAATATGACAATGTTCCTGAAACAAGACTATTCTTTGCAAACAATATGTCTGCTTAAAAAAACAGGCTAAGTTTGCAGGACATTCTTTGAGTTTGATAAAGTGAAATAGGCAAGTGCTGATATATAAAACGTATGTATATCAGAAATGTCATACTTGTGAATTGTATATTTTGTTATACATTGCCAGATACATACTTAGAGGCACCTGTATGAATTAAGCCTGTGACATATTTGGCCTACATTATTTCATTATCAGCGAGTTAACCTGAACACTTTCTGCTGAGGTTGGTTGTGCAGGCGACACAGTGCGTCCAAGCAAGCGATATAAGCACACTTCCTGGTCTGACATGCTGCAGTAGTAAACTGCCCTTGTGGGACCTGCTATCATGATCGCCACATCCATGCATATAGGCTTGGAGGACTTGCATCACTATTGACTCACCATTGTGTCAGGACTGTGTTGTCCTCCGGGTACTGCAAAAGTAGTAGTAGTAGTAGTAGTAGTAGTAGTAGTAGTGGTAGTTGTAGTAGTAGTAGTAGTAGTAGTAGTAGTGGTGGTTGTAGTAGTGGAGAGGTAGTAGTAGTAGTGGTAGTAGTAGTAGTGTAGTGGTAGTGGAAGTGGTGGTGGGGGTGGTGGTAGTGGTAGTAGTTGCAATAGGAGTAGTTGTGGGTAGTGGTTGTAGTAGTGGTAGTAGTAGTGGTAGTGGTGGTAGTAGTAGTGGTGGTAGTTGTAGTAGTAGTAGAAGTAGTGGTAGTGGTAGTGGTAGTGGTAGTGGTAGTGGCAGTGGTAGTGGTAGTGGTAGTGGTAGTGGCAGTAGTGGTAGTGGTAGTGGTAGCGGTAGAAGTAGTGGTAGTAGAAGAAGGGGCAGTGGTAGTGGTAGTGGTAGTGGTGATAGTAGTAGTAGTACTAGTAGAGGCAGTGGTAGTGGTAGTGGTAGTAGTAGTGGTAGTGGTGGTTGTAGTGGTAGTGGTGGTAGTTGTAGTAGTAGTAGTAGTAGTAGTGATAGTGATAGTGATAGTGATAGTGATAGTGGTAGTGGTGGTGGTAGTGGTAGTAGTGGTGGTAATAGTAGAAGTAGTAGTAGTAGAAATAGGGGTAGAAGTAGTTGTTGTAGTAGTCGTAGTAATAATAGGAGCAGTGATGGTTGTCGTAGTTGTAATAGTAGATTTAGTTATAGCTGTCACTGAAGTACCATCCTCACTATATGTTTGTCCTTAGTAATCAATCTCTAGTCACTCTACAATACTCAAAGTGGCGTTATCCATGGACTCTTAACAGGGGAAGGCTTCACTTCAAGTCCTATGAGACATGCATTATGTTAGAACCTCTACACGGGCCTTGTTGACCTGCGATTGTTATCGTTAAGAGCTGGAGCATCCGGAAAATAATAGCCCTCGTGCTTGACGCACGACCTCACACATTGTCAGTGTTAGCGCGAGTATACAACAGTGACTGTCTGAAAGGGACGCTACTTGAGCAGACGTGCATTTGGTACTGTCACGTTTCTGCCTAAGTGTTTATTTGTGGCAATGGTATGGACAATCGATCATCCACGCAGTCATACCAGGTGTGTTATGACGTACTTTAATACAAGTATTGTCCACCACATGTCAGCCCATAAAGCACGAAGTACTAATGTGCAAAAGATATAATAACCGTTACTCTCACTTTGATGTGCCATCGGTGTGGTTGGATACGTGTCTCGCTATGTCTGTATACTAATATGGGTCTCTTTGTTTTCTTCCCAGGAAAGAAAATGTAGTTTATATCACTGTCTTAATAAAGGGCAATTTCGGTTGTTTCATTAACAATATTGATCCCATGGCTATTTCCAGTGAAGAAAAACGTAAGGCGATATGTACAGATATAGATTGTCAAACGAGTTCCCGTAAGATAACGCTTGTATTACAATGAGTGTATTTCAAAACGAGTGGTAATGAAATCTGTTTCTGAGGGTGTAGAAATTTAGTAGGTAATAAATAAGGGATGTTAGTACAGGGACGGAGGCGTAAACAGACAAGCAGGGTGGACAGATTAGGCTTTTAGCAAAGGGAAGCATGGGGGTGAGGGGGGGGGGGGGGGGGGGGGGGCGGGGGGGGGGGGGGTGAGGGATAAATAGAGGCTATTGGTACAGAGAAACAGGGTTAAATAGAGGCTGTTAGTACAGGGAAGCAGGGGTAAATAGAGGCTATTAGTACAGGGAAGCAGGGGTAAATAGAGGCTATTGGTACAGGGAAGCAGTGGTAAAAAGAGGCTATTAGCACAGAGAAGCAGGGTTAAATAGAGGTTATTAGTACAGAGAAGCAGTGGTAAATAGAGGCTATTGGTACAGATAAGCAGGGGTAAATAGAGGCTATTGGTACAGGGAAGCAGTGGTAAAAAGAGGCTATTAGCACAGAGAAGCAGGGTTAAATAGAGGTTATTAGTACAGAGAAGCAGTGGTAAATAGAGGCTATTGGTACAGAGAAGCAGGGGGTAAATAGAGGTTATTAGTACAGAGAAGCAGGGTTAAATAGAGGCTATGGGTACAGATAAGCAGGGGTAAATAGAGGCTATCGTTACAGATAAGCAGGGGTAAATAGAGGCTATTGGTACAGGGAAGCAGGGTGAAATAGAAGCTATTAGTACAGGGAAGCAGGGTTAAATAGAGGCTATTAGTACAGAGAAGCAGTGGTAAATAAAGGCTATTGGTACAGAGAAGCAGGGGGTAAATAGAGGCTATTGGCCCAGAGAAGCAGGGGGTAAATATATGCTGCTAGTATAGGCAAGCAGAGGGTAAGTTTATGCTGCGAGTATAGGCAAGCAGGGGGTAAGTATATGCTGCGAGTATAGGCAACCAGGGGTAAACATACGCTGCTAGTATAGGGAAGCAGGGGGGAAATATATGCTGCTAGTATAGGCAAGCAGGGGGTAAATAGGTGACGTTATGCTGCTAGTATAGGTAAGCAGGTGGTAAATATATGCTGCTGGTATAGGTAAGCAGGGGGTAAATTTATGCTGCTAGTATAGGCAAGCAGGGGGTAACTTTTTATACTGCTAGTATAGACAGGCAGGGGTAAATATATGCTGCTAGTATTGACACGCAGGGGATAAATACTAGTATATGCTGCTGGTATAGGCAAGCAGGGGGTAAGTATGTGACGTTATGCTGCTAGTATAGACAAGCAGGGGGTAAATATATGTTGCTGGTATAGGCAAGCAGGGGGTTAAATATGTGCTGCTAGTATAGGCAAGCAAGAAGTAAATATATGCTGCTAGAATATGCAATCATGGGCGTAAATATGTGTTGATGGTGTAGGCAAGCAGGGGGTAAATATATGTTGTTACTATAGGAAGCAGGAGGTAAATGTATACGTCTAGTATAGGCAAGCAGGGGGTAAATATACATGTATGCTGCTAGTATATACAATCGGGTGGGGGGGGGGGGGGGGATATGTGCTGCTAGTATAGGTAAGCAGGGGTAAATAGGTGACATTATGCTGCTAGTATAGGCTTGCAGGGGTAAATATATGCTGCTTGTATAGGCATGCAGGGGGTAAATATATGCTGCCAGTATAGGCAAGCAGTGGGTAAATATGTGCTGCTAATATAAGCAAGCGGGAGGTAAATATATGATGTTACTATAGGCAAGCAGGACGTAAATATATGCTGCTAGTATATGCAATCATAGGGGTTAAATATGTGCTGCTAGTATAGGCAAGCAGGAAGTAAATATATGCTGCTAGTATATGCAATTGTGGGCGTAAATATGTGTTGGTGGTGTAGGCAAGCAGGGGGTAAATATATGATGTTGCTATAGGAAGCAGAAGGTAAATGTATACGTTTAGTATAGGGAAGCAGGGGGTTAATATATGATGTTGCCATAGGAAGCAGAAGGTAAATGTATACGTTTAGTATAGGCAAGCGAGGGGTAAATATATGATGTTGCTATAGGAAGCAGAAGGTAAATGTATACGTTTAGTATAGGCAAGCAGGGGATAAATATACATGTAGGCTGCTAGTATATAGAATCGCGAGGGGGGGTAAATATGTGTTTCTTGTATAGGTAAGCAAAGGGTAAATATATGATGTTACTATATACAAGCTGGTATAGGCAGGCATGGGTAAATATATGCAGCTAATATAGGCAAGCAGGACGTAAATATGTGCTGAATAGACTATGAGAAGGCTCCTAATCTCAGATTCCCTATCACAAGTTGAATAGTGTATAGCTACATATCTAGTATATATACAGCTAGCGAAGGTACACGTGACCTGATTGAGAAGTTAGTCATGCTGTGACATAGCATAGAGCCTACATTCACCCTGGTGTATGTATGATACAAGGGGGTCCTGTTCGACAGCCTACATGCACACTGGTGTATGTATGATACAAGGGGGTCCTGTTCGACAGCCTACATGCACCCTGGTGTATGTATGATACAAGGGGGTCCTGTTCGACAGCCTTAATGGGATACAGAAACACACACATCATGTTCTCCTGTGATGTTGGTAAGCATTTTATGTCATTCGTCGTCATATTGTTTGGTTTCACGTGTTGAATAGTATATATCGCGTGACTGTATAGTATAGCATAGCGCAATATACATGTGGCCTAGATGTGCGGTTGTTCATGCAGTGACACCACAAAGCCAATGTTATGTAGATGACAAAAGGGAGGTCACCTGATAGGTAGGCTGATATAGAAGACATGTGCATCACAGGGCGTAGCATTGTGTATTATGTTGGTGAGTAGCTTATGTCATTCGTCGTCATTTTTTCGGTTGACGTTTTTGACATGTCATCTCATACAGATTCGGAAGGAATGTCTATCGTAACTGGCTTACCGTGACCGACAACATTAGAAGTTGTAGCAGGATCACTCGGGGTACATGGGGTTTTATGCGTGGTAAGGTTTTATACCCCGAGCCAAGTTTAAATATGACATTGTAAAATAATTCAAATTTATTGAAAGCTGAGAGAAAACAGCTGCTCGATTGAGCTGAGGTGAGCTTGCGCTAGGTCACGTGACATCTATTTGCTCACAAAAAACATACGGTTATACGGTTATAACGAACACGCTTATGACGAACTGATGGATATAACGAATTTATTTTTGGGTCCTGGCAATTTGCTGTATTTATGCTGTATATATGCTTATAACGAACAACTGTTATAATAAACCAAAATGGGCCGTCCCTTGAGTTCATTTTCGTATTTCGGGCGTCAGACCGCCCTCTACTATATTATCCACGATCAGGGCCCTGATAGATCGTCGCCGAAACACGCGGCATATTAAAAACACGCTTGACATGTTTCAGTGTACGAGTCGGTTCACTTCTTCCGGGTACTACTATCATAACAACATGGAGCAGACACTGTTTATCCTCAACGCCCGTTACTGGCTGCTGGGAATGTTCATACCGTGTACTGAAGATAGCAACCGTCATAACGGATACGCCCTTATCTTGTTGCTGGGAATGTACACACCGTGTACTGAAGATAGCAACCGTCGTAACGGATAGGCCCTTATCTTGTTCGGGTTGTTTGTGACTTTTGGTATGGTTAAATATGGAGCATACATGTTATGAATGAAGAAAATACACTATTCTAAAACACTGCCGAGCATAGTATTTCGTCACCTGCGTTTTCACAAGGCTGTATTTGTAACTTGAACATGTGTGAACAAACACATTAGGTATGTTTTTTTTACCGTTCGTTATGTATTCTAGATGCCCATTGGGTAATTTTAAATTTGATTTCTCCTTACCTAAGTTACATTTGCAAAGATGTGGACAAAAATGAGTGAACACTGCATGTGTATTAGAAGTAGACAAACTGGTTTGGGCAGCCTGCATAAGCTTTGACAACCATAGGTGACTATTTATCACGTTGTGTGTAAACAGTACGGAAGACGAGCCCGCCTATACACAGCAGACAGACAAACAATACATAGTATACGAATAGGGAAATAGATCACAGCTAGTGTTAACAGTGTAAAAGTTTGGTTTGGCTTTAATAATGTATGGCATGATATACATCTACGTATCGCTCACCAAACAGGTCATCAGAAAGTGAAAAGGGGGGCACGGGTGGCCAAGTCGTCTAAGGCGCCGCGATTCGCTGTGCAGAGTTGCGTCCCTTGGGCACGCCAGAAACCTATGATTGTGGGTTCGAATCCCGGTTCGCCGCGATTATGTTTCTAGGTTTGTCAGCATCATACCCGTGCTCGTGGGTTTACTGACGACGGATGAAAGAAGATCAGGTGTGTTATGGTACGCTCTGTCTGCTTTGGCTGCAGGGAATTGTTGATAACAGTTCTTTGAAAACAAGTATATTTGTTGTTTCCACCAGTGTAAATATACAGAAATGTCAAATACATTCCTACTGCTTACAACATGAACCCCGGTACTTAATTTATATATAAAAAAAAGAAATATATTCACTAGATGATTTCTAAAGTCACTTTCTGGTGTAGTGATTTGCGTACTAACAGACACGATGTCATCTTCTTCCTGTTAAGAGGGAATACATGAGAATCATTAAACACGCTATTGCCTGAGATGTGTGACACAGCTTAACACCGACCTCCATGCTGGGGTAAGTTTCTCGCATGTGTTTGGGCACATTTATGTGTTTGTGATTGTATCCTACTTAATAAACCCTCACCTGGGATATCTGCTTGTTACAGTGACGTCTCTTTAATATCCATATTCAGCATTCATTGCTTTTTAGCTATTGTTGTCCTTATGGTAAAAAAAATGATGATCCTTTCAATATAGGAGGCATCTGAGCTGCCGCGTGCTGTCCTTTGTTTCTAGATCTAGACGCTGTATGCTTGACAAACAACATAATACAGTAGAGTACGGTAATAACGAACTTAATTTTAGTTCATTATAACCGTAGTTCGTTATAAACTTATACACATCATAACTACAGCAAATAGTCGGGACCAAAAAAGTAAGTTCGTTATATCCGTCAGTTCGATATAAGCGTGTTCGTTATAACCGTAGTTTACGGTATTTGCCTGAACAGACAGCAATTGACTCCACTGACAAGAAAAGTGGTGATGAAAAGCCCGAAGCCCAAAGTGAGTCAGGTCTCAGACGTTTACCACTTCGGTGAAACTCAAGAGCACAGGTATGGTGCTGACAAACCTACAAACATAATCGGGGCGAATCTGGATTCGAACCCACAATTATAGGTTTCTGGCGTGCCCAACGCCACCCGTTGAGAGAAAACTGAGTTTTACTTTTCTAATGTTTGTTGTTTTCAGACGCATGATGCCGGAGAAGAATGTGGTAGTCTTGTCAGCAACAATGTGGCTTTGGGCAGTTCTCGTGTTAACATGTGAGTACATTAATCTCCTAAAATGTATATGAAGCATTCTTACATGTGATGTAACTGACGATAAATGAAACGACGTGTAAACTATATATATGTTTTAATATAGGTGTCCTAATCGATGTATCAATGTCATGGAAGTTTTATTTTATGTAAAAGCTTAGATCATAGTTTAAGTGCAAAGCATACGTTGTATACTGGGAGGGGCATTGGAACGATTGCAATACTTGAAAACATTGAGAGTACATGATATTCCGGGATTCCATTGGACGAGATGTCAGTCATACGCCCATGAGCGTTATTCATCACATGAATGCATTTTAATAGTGACACAGCTGTTGTAACTTCCTTATTACCAGCGGAACATCATACTTACCTCACGTGAATAACACGAGAGTCATGGCTCGTGTGTTCCTTTGTTCACAGAACCAAACAAATGGTTTGGTTTAATGTCATAGACTTTGGAGCATCGCTCTGTGAAAACTGCCGGGCTTCTTTACATGTTCCAGTTAAATATGTCAGTGGGGGGCACGGGGCCTAGTCATCTAAGGCGCCGCGATTCGCTGTGCAGAGTTGCGTCCCTTGGACATGCCAGAAACCTATGATTGTGGGTTCGAATCCCGGTTCGCCCCGATTATGTTTCTAGGTTTGTCGTGTGTCATGTGCAATATGTAGTTTCAGGTTAGAGTTTGAGTAGGTTAGAAATACGGATAATATAAGCAGCCTGACTCGGGGGATTCAACTGAAGTGCGTGGGGATTACACACATCACATCGTCATTAACCTTATGTTCCTGTGTGTATCCTGGCAAGTGAGGGTTGACCTATAGCAGTAGAAACCTCCACAGAAGGCCACACTGGGTGAACCTATAGCAGTAGAAACCTCCACAGAAGGCCACACTGGGTGAACCTATAGCAGTAGAAACCTCCACAGAAGGTCACACTGGGTTGACCTATAGCAGTAGAAACCTCCACAGAAGGCCACACTGGGTTGACCTAAAGCAGTAGAAACCTCCACAGAAGGCCACACTGGGTTGACCTATAGCAGTAGAAACCTCCACAGAAGGCAACACTGGGTGAACCTATAGCTGTAGAAACCTCCATAGAAGGCCACACTGGGTGAACCTATAGCAGTAGAAACCTCCACAGAAGGCCACACTGGGTGAACCTATAGCAGTAGACACCTCCACAGAAGGTCACACTGGGTGAACCTATAGCAGTAGAAACCTCCACAGAAGGCCACACTGGGTGAACCTATAGCAGTAGAAACCTCCACAGAAGGCCACACTGGGTGAACCTATAGCAGTAGAAACCTCCACAGAAGGCCACACTGGGTGAACCTATAGCAGTAGAAACCTCCACAGAAGGCCACACTGGGTGAACCTATAGCAGTAGAAACCTCCACAGAAGGCCACACTGGTTGAACCTATAGTAGTAGAAACCTCCACAGAAGGCCACACTGGGTGAACCTATAGCAGTAGAAACCTCCACAGAAGGCCACGCTGGGTGAACCTTTGAACGCTGAATGAAAGTATGAGCGTCATTTTAGGTGTTGATTTAATAATTATATTGCAAATATTCATCAGACTTCTCGTAGGAGTGTGCAGAAGTACTGGCCTCACATCCCGTGTACAGTGTGTAGAAGTACTGGCCTTATAATCGGGGATAGTGTGTAGAAGTACAGGCCTCACACCCCTTGTACAGTGTGTAGAAGTACTCGCCATATATGCGGGGATAGTGTGTAGAAGTACTCGCCATATATGCGGGGATAGTGTGTAGAAGTACTCGCCATATATGCGGGGATAGTGTGTAGAAGTACTCGCCTTATCTGAGGGGATAGTGTGTAGAAGTACTCGCCATATATGCGGGGATAGTGTGTAGAAGTACTCGCCTTATAATCGGGGATAGTGTGTAGAAGTACTCGCCTTATAATCGGGGATAGTATGTAGAAGTACTGGCCTTATAATCAGGGATAGTGTGTAGAAGTACTCGCCATATATGCGGGAATAGTGTGTAGAAGTACTCGCCATATATGCGGGGATAGTGTGTAGAAGTAGTCGCCTTATCTGCGGGGATAGTGTGTAGAAGTACTCGCCTTATAATCGGGGATAGTGTGTAGAAGTACTCGCCTTATAATCGGGGATAGTGTGTAGAAGTACTCGCCTTATAATCGGGGATAGTGTGTAGAAGTACTCGCCTTATAATCAGGGATAGTGTGTAGAAGTACTCGCCTTATAATCGGGGATAGTGTGTAGAAGTACTCGCCTTATAATCGGGGATAGTGTGTAGAAGTACTCGCCTTATAATCGGGGATTGTGTGTAGAAGTACTCGCCTTATCTGCGGGGATAGTGTCATGAAGTACAGGCCTCACACCCCGGGTACAGTGTGTAGAAGTACTTCCCTCACACCTCGGGTACAGTGTGTAGAAGTACTGGCCTCACACCCCGGGTACAGTGTGTAGAAGTACTTCCCTCACACCTCGGGTACATTGTGTAGAAGTCCTGGCCTTACATATCGGGTACATTGTGTAGAAGTACTGGCCTAACATCTCGGGTACAGTGTGTGGAAGTACTGGCCTCACACCTCAGGTACTATGTGTAGAAGTACAGGCCTCACACCTCGGGTACAGTGTGTAGAAGAACAAGCCTCACACCTCGGGTACAGTGTGTAGAAGTACTGGCCTCACACCTCAGGTACTGTGTGTAGAAGTACAGGCCTCACACCTCGGGTACAGTGTGTAGAAGTACTGGCCTAACACCTCGGGTACAGTGTGTGGAAGTACTGGCCTAACACCTCGGGTACAGTGTGGAGAAGAACAAGCCACACACCTCGGGTACAGTGTGTAGAAGAACAAGCCTCACACCTCGGGTACAGTATGTAGAAGTACTGGCCTAACATCTCGGGTACAGTGTGTAGAAGTACTGGCCTCACACCCCGGGTACAGTGTGTAGAAGTACTTCCCTCACACCTCGGGTACATTGTGTAGAAGTGCTGGCCTTACATATCGGGTACATTGTGTAGAAGTACTGGCCTAACATCTCGGGTACAGTGTGTAGAAGTACTGGCCTCACACCTCGGGTACAGTGTGTAGAAGTACTTGCCTCACACCTCGGGTTGCAGTGTGTAGAAGTACTAGCCTCACACCTCGGGTACAGTGTGTAGAGGTACTGGCCTCAGACCTCGGGTACTGTGTGTAGAAGTACTGGCCTCACACCTCAGGTACAGTGTGTAGAAGTACTAGCCTCACACCTCATGTACAGTGTGTAGAAGTACTTGCCTCACACCTCGGGTTGCAGTGTGTAGAAGTACTTGCCTCACACCTCGGGTACAGTGTGTAGAAGTAATGGCCTCACATCTCGGGTACAGTGTGTGGAAGTACTGGCCTCACACCTCAGGTACAGTGTGTAGAAGAACAAGCCTCACACCTCGGGTACAGTGTGTAGAAGAACAAGCCTCACACCTCGGGTACAGTATGTAGAAGTACTGGCCTAACATCTCGGGTACAGTGTGTAGAAGTACTGGCCTTACACCTCGGGTACAGTGTGTAGAAGTACTAGCCTCACACCTCGGGTACAGTGTGTAGAGGTACTGGCCTCACACCTCGGGTACTGTGTGTAGAAGTACTGGCCTTACACCTCGGGTACAGTATGTAGAAGTACTAGCCTCACACCTCGGGTACAGTGTGTAGAGGTAATGGCCTCACACCTCGAGTACTGTGTGTGGAAGTACTGGCCTCACACCTTGGGTACTGTGTGTAGAAGTACTGGCCTCACACCTCAGGTACAGTGTGTAGAAGAACAAGCCTCACACCTCGGGTACTGTGTGTAGAGGTACTGGCCTCACACCTCGGGTACAGTGTGTAGAAGTACTGGCCTTACACCTCGGGTACAGTATGTAGAAGTACTGACCTAACATCTCGGGTAGAGTGTGTAGAAGAACAAGCCTCACACCTCGGGTACTGTGTGTAGAAGTACTGGCCTAACACCTCAGGTACAGTGTGTAGAAGTACTGGCCTTACACTCTGTGTACAGTGTGTAGAAGTACAAGCCTTACATATCGGGCACTGTGTGTAGAGGTACTGGCCTCACACCTCGGGTACAGTGTGTAGGAGTACTGGCGTCACATATCGGGTACAGTGTGTAGAAGTACTGGCCTCACACCTCTGGTACTGTGTGTAGAAGTACTGGCCTCACACCTCGGGTACTGTGTGTAGAAGTACTGGCCTTACACTCTGTGTACTGTGTGTAGAAGTACTGGCCTCACACCTCGGGTACTGTGTGTAGAAGTGCAGGCCTTACATGTCGGGTACAGTGTGTAGAAGTGCTGGCCTTACGTCTCGGGTACAGTGTGTAGAAGTACTGGCCTCACACCTCGGGTACTGTGTGTAGAAGTACTTGCCTCACACCTCGGGTACAGTGTGTAGAAGTACTGGCCTTACATCTCGGGTACAGTGTGTAGAAGTGCTGGCCTTACATATCGGGTACATTGTGTAGAAGTACTGGCCTTACATCTCGGGCACTGTGTGTAGAGGTACTGGCCTGACACCTCGGGTACAGTGTGTAGAAGTACTGGCCTTACACTCTGTGTACAGTGTGTAGAAGTACAAGCCTTACATCTCGGGTACAGTGTGTAGAAGTACTGGCCTTACATCTCGGGTACAGTGTGTAGAAGAACAAGCCTCACACCTCGGGTACAGTGTGTAGAAGAACAAGCCTCACACCTCGGGTACAGTGTGTAGAAGAACAAGCCTCACACCTCGGGTACAGTATGTAGAAGTACTGGCCTAACATCTCGGGTACAGTGTGTAGAAGAACAAGCCTCACACCTCGGGTACTGTGTGTAGAAGTACTGGCCTAAGACCTCAGGTACAGTGTGTAGAAGAACAAGCCTCACACCTCGGGTACAGTGTGTAGAAGAACAAGCCTCACACCTCGGGTACAGTATGTAGAAGTACTGGCCTAACATCTCGGGTACTGTGTGTAGAAGTACTGGCCTCACACCTCGGGT